ACGTGTCTCTTATTTTGTCGAGTACTACAACATATCAAAAAATTATTGAAATCGGTGGGGTCGGGTTGGGGGGGTTTCCTTGTCAGTGGGACTCATGCATTGCCGTCTCACTCCCACTCATGCGTTCGAACAGGACGCACCGTACGACGCTTTCGCGTCTCGCTCGCACCATAGCGCTACCTGCGTTTCATGCACCTATCCTGGTACATATACCAGTCCGTCAAACAGTCACTGTCCACTCTTTTCTCTTATCTCACCGCACTGCATTAACAAGCTGGACAACATTAATGACGTTCAGTGTACAATAAATTCATCTAAATAGACTTTATATTACATATGCTATTTTTCAATAATAATTGACCACAATTTTTTATTTTTTTGAGCCATTAGAATGGCATTACCTCTTAAAAGAATTAAACAAAAAAGAAATGAAGAAAAAAAAGTTTCCCTCTCTAGACGCGAACGCGGCACCTTACGATTACGAAACTGAATCGTTGCCAACGCGCCCAATGCATGTTCTTCGTACACGATAATCCATAGCTGGTAGAACTGAGCAGCCTCACTTGTTGCGATACGGACTCTCATGAAGATGTAAGAGAAAAATTGACAGCAATGGAAAAAAATCTCGTTTCCGCTTAATGCTCTTGCATTTCTAACATAGATACATTTCTCCATATCATTTTTTGTTTTAATGTGCCGTGGTCGCAGCATGGTCTGATTAAAAAAAAAATTTTGATAACGTTCGAGGGTTTGTTTAAAGTTTTATTTGGTCACTCTATTATTTACAAAGCTTCATATGGATATTAAGGGAATTAACATCGGCAAAATTTACTACCTTATTACTACGGTTTATGTAATATGCAGTAAGAAAGGGTGGATTCAAGTCTCCCTATTTGAGTGTTCACCCGGTTTAAAATCGTGGATCTCGAGGAACACACGAATTCATTCGACCAATCAAAAACGTGGAACTAGTTCGAGAGTCTCGTTCAGGTGGCGCGACGACACGCCAAAACACAGCTCCAGATTATCACGCGTAGTATTACTATATATACACGACCAATCAAAAACGTGGAACTGCTTCGAGGGCCCTCCGCTAAGGTGGCGCGCCGAAACCAGAGAAAAATTGCCTTCACCAAAAACAGGCTCATTGGCAATCTCCCTACTCATCTCTGCTAACACGAATAGAATACAAAAAAAAAGTATATAGTGACTACGTATCTTTACCGTAAGAAAGGAAAATATAGTAAAATATAAATTATCTTTGTACAATTATAAATGAGAAAAATGTTTTTTTTTTTATTCAAGAGTTATATGTTTTATCAGTGTCATGATGGCAATTGAGTGATATTATTTTATGATAGCAATATAGTTTGAACAGAAAGTATTTAATTTTATTATAATAAATTGTATAATTCGTTTGCAATTCTATCTCTTTTTTGTATTCCAAACATCCTTTGCTCCCCTTGTTCTCTTCTTGTTTCATTATGCACATCATCGTATTCTGAAACGGCAGAAGCGTCTTCCTCATTTTGGTTAAACATATCTCCGTTGATTATACATAGGTTATGTAGAACACAACATGCCACTATGTATTTTGGTATCCATTCAATTGTCCTAACGTCCAGAAACTTTAGACATCTTCATCTTCCTTGTAATATAGCAAAAGCTCTCTCTATTACACTACGAGCTGCATTTAATTTATAATTAAATTCCGTTGCTGACTGTTCAATTGTCCATAAGTTTTGTATGGTATTAAAAGGGTTTGAGATAGTGGATATGCTTTATCACCCAATAGATGCATGTTGTTAGGAAATTTTTCTTCAGCGCCAGTTGTCATGTATGACCATAATTCACTATTTCTTAAAACCTTAGCATCATGTACACTTCCCACTTCACCTGTATAGCAATGTGTAAACTTCATTGTATGGTCACAAACTGCCTGAAAATAATACATGAGAAATTTTTTATTGCAAAAATTTGCCAAATATCTGTAGAATGGTCGCTCTATTCTATTATTAATCAGATTGGACTTAATAAAATATGTTTTTATATTATAATTACTTAATTACTAAATACCTGCACAATTATAACTTGAAAATTTTTTCTACAAATATAAGCAGTTCCTTCATCTTGTGACATTGAGACTCGAATATAGCAGCCAACGATGCAACCAATGGTATCAGAAAAACCTAGTTTTGCAAATCCATTTTGCACTATGTCTACAGTAGATCCGGTAGGCCATGAAACTACCTTCCCTGATAGTAACAGCAATGTATCTGTTATTCTATGAACAGCTCTGAATGCTGCTGCATTGGCAACATCACTTACGGCTATTCTACAATGCAATATAATAAGAAATAAGGAATAAGAAATAAGCAATAAGATCTTCATTTGATATTTACGTAATTCCATTGGATCCTCCAATCAAGGAGAAAATCGTTTTTAAAACCGAGCGTTTACTAAGTCTCTACGATGTTTATGACGTCTTGGACATAGCAACGATACGGAAGCGGTTGCTAGGGTCGCTAAGGATTTGACGGAGCACGAAACGTCATTGTCAAATGTCATTATCTGTCAATATATAAATATCAAAAAAAATGTGTATGCGTTTATTCATACAGATAAGTAAATCATTACTTCATTTTTAAAGTCACGATGACTTTTATCGTAGAGAAATTTCATTTTTCTAACGATATTGATAATGACCTCGTCTATAGAGCTGGTAATGACATTTGACAATGACGTTAATTTTTTAAATAAGATTTATATATCTCATCCAGCAAACACTGCAACATAATATAAATGTAACAGTAGCATAACGCAATGTAACAAGTAATATAGCATGCTTGTTACAAGTGACTCGCAGGTAAGTTAAAATGAGACACTCAAACGAATATCACGTTTTTATCAATGTTACAGAATATTGTTATATGAATGTTATCAAACTTACATGCGATTGTTATATTACATGTTGATATCATTTATATAACCCGTGTATCATGTAGATCATAAGATGTATATTTGGGTTTACACTAAATAATCCATACATTTTGATCGCATTTTATATTTATTATGATATAATAAAACATTTATAATTATAATGTATGTATTGTATTGCTCTCTCTCTCTCTCCCTATTTGACTAGGATTTCGAAGAAACTTGTTAACAAATAACAATCAAATCATTACAACCTTGCAATAATTTGAATACAGGTCGCATAAAGAAGAAATAATCAAGTCTCAAGCTCTTACATTATGATTCCTTGGTCTCTCTGTGTAATCTCTGTTTTGCAAACCGAAACCATTCAGCTATTACAACTTCAATCTGGTCTGCTTTGAAAAACGGGTATGTGGCTATTATGTAGTATTATGTATTATGTATATAATCAAGTGGTATTTGTGCAACCATGTCTATATTTAAAAGCTCTAAACAAGAAGTTGATATGTGGTGCTCGGGTTGTTGCTTGCTTCTAAAGGAATTATCAGTGCATAATGTACAATCTGTCTCAGGGTAAGTAACTCTTTTTTCTATGAAATCCCCTTCTTGAATGCATTTAGTACAGCTGAAGTAGCCTGTATGATTTTTGGTGCAACATATAAAAGATTTTGCAGGTGCATGACAAATGATTGCATTTATAACAACAGATATCTGTTTTCCATTCACAACTAATCAACGTTCAGATATTATTTTTGCATCATCTACTAGAAATTTCAGAAACTGATTAGGATCTTTAGGTTTCATCAAACCATGATGAAATCCAACAACAAATGGTTCTGTATGAAAATCAGCAACAATTGAAGCTAAGATAACCCAAAATTGACTCCCAGAGCTTTTTGAAACTGGTAGACCATCAACATTAATATGAAGTTTTAGCTCACTTGGGATATCTTGAAAATATTTTGTGATTAATCGTTCGATACTTGATGATAGATTAAAATGAACATATTGACCTCCATTTACTGATTCTATGGTTTGAGAATCTAACTTTGGAGTTCTAAGAAAAGTCCTAATATCTGCTGATAAGTGAGAGTGACCATTGTGTTTCAATAATTTTAATAATTCATTCGCAGCACTATGACAAATATTATTTTTGGAAATCCAACTGCGCAATCCTTCTTCAAATTTAATATCACTTAAAGTATCAGCATTATCGTCTAGATTACCTCCTATGCTATTACCATCAATTTCAAAAGAAAACTCACTTGATGCACAAAGATCTTGGCTTTCCTCAATTTCAATCTGTTCACATGACAAAGAATTCTCTAGATTCCCAGCTTGAAATACATGTTCTTCAGACAGATCGCACGATTCATGTAGATCTGCGTTTGTTTCTGAATTTTGAACTATTGTATCATCAGACCTTGCTACATTTTTAATTGTAGATATATATTTATTACCGTCAAAACCAGACTTCTTTAGGGGACTTTCATAACGAGCTAATTCAGCTGTAATCATGCGATGCTTATGGCTTCTAGACAATAAATAAACGTCTTCGGGCATTTTGAAGAAAAATACACTTACTACAGATAAGTATTCGTATAAAGGATTCAATAAAACTTCTACAACACGTGGTTAGGTGTAACCACGTATATTTTTGTTTTATCCAAAAGTTAAATTATGTTCCAAATCTTTAAATTTATATAATCTTTACGGTAGAATTTCAATAAGTGTAATGTAAAGCTTACGTAATTAATATATTATAAATGTAGGTACTCTCCTATTAATTTTGTGGAAGCCGAAACCCTCACAATTGCTTACGACTGCTTACAACAAACGAGTGAAGAAAGATCAAGTTCATTTCCCGGTAACGTACTGTTCAGAGGTGATTGGCTGAAATTTTTTAGAATTGCTATCATTGGCAACATTTCACCCAATCGTCATAACGTTGTCATAAAGCAGTTCCAAAACAACTCGAATGTTGGTGGCTTCTCTCTGCGTTTTGTTTATTGGGTCGTATGAGGTTACGTGTATTATAATAAATTATTAAAGACTTACCTGAAAGCCTGAAATTTATTCCAAATTGTTTATAATATTTAAACCACTGAATTCATAAATATGCTTTCACATATTCAATTTGTTTTTTTTTACTGTGACTCAATAGTATTTACATA